GGGGGGGGGGTTACAAACTGTATTGTGACTTTTTGTTAGAGGGAGAATGAGGAATTGTTAGAAGTAAAAGTGGATGAAAAAGACCTTTTTTGAAGAGAGGGGGCAGGGGGTGGATTATCGGCTATATGCTGCTAAAACTTTTCTGGTTAAAATTTGAACTTATAAATGACCTCATTCATACCTCCCTTGCCATTATTAACTGTAACAAACATTGGGTACAACAATGTAGTGTTTAAATTGTTAAGACTATTTACCATTAACTTTTTCTACAAGAAACTGTGAGGTAAAACTGAGTACAAATACTAGAAAATGCTGATACCATTCATTAGTCTCTTTTATCAAAATTTCAAACAGTAACTTTTAAACCAGTAAACTGAATCATTGCCTATTACTTTAAATTCTTGCAAACCTTAAAGTACAGTAAATGTTACACTTGTGACAGCTAACAAACAACAATCACAATAGCTGTCTGAGAAAAGCTACCTATGGAAAACAGGAATTTATCATTTTCAACCAATTCCAAATACATGTACACTATTTCATGATTATACCCTGTAGTCTGTGCCAGAAACCTTAACTTTAAGTTTATACCACAGTCAGTTTTATCGAAACTTCAAACATTAACTGTCAAACCAGCAAAATGAATCTACGACATTGCCTACTACTTAATTAGTTCTTGCAAATGTAAGCTTTTAAAGTAAATATTGGAATGATGACAGCTAACAAAACAATCTATAGCTATTTGAGAAAGGTTACCTGTCGAAAACAGGAATTCATCATTTTCAACCAATTCTGAGGAGGCTATTTCAGGATCATACAGCTTGTGGCCTGTGCCCTGGATATCAAGGACCATTAACTTATTGTTTGATTTCTCATAACTAAAGTGAACAAGGCACTGAGCTTTTTCTGACAATGTACTTTTGTCACACACCTTGCCAGTGTTGTTAATGTATGTTACAAATTTCCCCTCAATGTACTCCTCAACAGTGACATGGTCACCCTTATCCAGATCTCTCCCGAAGTAAAACTTTCCATACTGCAGTGCTTGGCCAAACTCTAAAAGATCATCTTTCTTTATTTTCTGAGCCAACTGATCGGCAAAATTCTTTGCAAGCATATGCATTTGAACAACCTTCTTCGTATGTACTTCAGCTGTCTGACCTGTGTCTTGTATTGCTTTTAGTGCTTCTGGTAAGTATCTTTTCACAACCCATGTTTTGCCAGTAAATGCTTCATTATGACTTGTTGCCCTGTAAGAAAATTTGACCCAAACTCTTTTATCTGGTCTAATTCACCTTTGAATTTCACATTTTCAAAGCCCAACAAATATTTTTGGCAGCTTTCCAATGAAAAATGCCCTGGGTGGGAGAGGCAGGTAGACATGATGAAAATTTACCAACCAAGCATTATTTGGAAAAGCTGGAAGATACAAATTAAAAAGGAACTGTATTTTCATGAAATGGGAATGTACAGAATCTCTTACAATTTTTGACATTATTTTTTATTATCATATTAAAAAAAAGTGATTACCACTTGAATGTGCAATATGTAAGGGGTGGGGTATTGTTTCCATAACTATGTAAGGGGTCACACCCATTGTGATCAGCGCAAAAACCACCTTTACCCCTTAAGAAAGTAATAATCTATTTAAAAGCTCAAATACCCTAAATTCAGGGTAGACAGAGCTTGCCCGAGGCGGGTGATGGCTCGGTACATAAACAAACAAATACCATGATCGCCACCATGTTTTTTTTTTTAATCAGTCGCACCTACCTATATGCTTCTCTGAATCAGCCTTTTGCAAAAGCATCCTTCTCTATATTAAACTCTATAGTAGCTGCAGTTAAGGACCATCCGAGCGGGTCCAATTCAAAGGACCTCACCTCGATCAAAGTGGTGACTTTTTTCGCAACAACCTTTCCAAATATGGTCGTCCGAACGTTTCAAAATTCGCTAAACTTAAATTCGTTGTCGCTATCTTGAATTCGTTGTCGCTAAATTCAAATTCGTTGTTGCTAACTTGAAGTCGTTGTCGCTAAATTCTATTTCGTTGTCGCTAACTTGAGGTCGTTGTCGCTAAAATTAAACTCGTTGTCGCCAACTTGAAGTTGTTGTCGCTAACATTAAAGTTTTCGTTGTCGCTAACTATCAAGGCGCTAAACTTAATTCGTTGTCGCTAACTATGAAGTCGTTGTCGCTAAAATTAAGTGAACTCGGTATCGCTAACTATACTAAGGCGCTAAAATTTACTTTAAATATCATAGGGGTTGACAAGCCTGACTCACGCTTTCCACCCACGTGTTTTAGCCTTTAAATCTCAGAGATTAGCTTTTACGAGTATATCTTTCAGAGACCTTCCTCGTTTGTATGATATAATTGGAGGTTCTTTGTAGATCTGTCTAAGAAGAGGTTGTTTCTCTATCAGTTGCCAGTGTTTCATAAGAATGTTTTTAAGGCTGGGAACTGATGGTTAATACTGCGTGACAGCGGGGGCAAAATGGTTTTTTCTCTTGATGGTTTTTGTCGGAGTGCTTCTTTCCTGTTCTCAAAGTGTATTTCAGAGAGAGTTAGAGTTATTAAGTTTCGTGGATAACCTCTCTCTCTAAGGTGCTTCTGGAATTCTTCTAGTCGGTTTTAAAAGTTTTCTTTTGAGGAATTTGTTCTGAGTAACCGGACGGCTTCGCCTTTTATAAAGCCCTTCTTGACCCCTAATGGGTGGCAAGACGTGAAATGTGTATATTGGAAAGTTTCAGTAGGTTTAAAATGCGTTCGTATGTCGAGAATTGACGTACTGTTAAACCGTTTCCCTTTGTACACAATTGTATCCAGAAATGTGACTTTTTCCTCAGAGATTTCTGCTGTGAATTTAATAGTGGCGTGATGATTATTTGCTTGTTCAGTGTTATTTGTTCTCTTCCGGTACCCCAGAGAGAGAAGATGTCGTCTATATATCTTTTCCAACAGATAGGCTTTATTGCGCTCTTTTTTAATAACTCTGTTTCTACTTTCGCCATGAAGATATTTGCGAAAGCAACAGCGACCTTTGTTCCCATCGCTGTCCCGTGTGTTTGGAGGTAATTTTTTCCATAAAAATGGAATGAATTTTCTTTTAAAATGAGTCTGAGCGCTCGTAGTGACTGTGTTGGAATCGGGGGTTTATCTTTGTAGTGAGTAACATATGCTTTGCATATAGTTTTGATCCCCTCTTCTTGTGGAATGTTGGTATATAGACTTGTCACGTCCATTGAAACAATGATCGCGTGCTTTGGGACTTCTGTGCTTTCTATGAAATTAATGAAGTCTGTAGAGTATTTAAGATAAGAAGCCTGTCTTTGTGCTATAGGTTGCAACAGCCTATCAAGAAATGCTGAGATTCTTTCTGTTGGTCCGTCACAGCCTGATATTATTGGCCTACCTACTGGTGTAGGCTTGTGAATTTTAGTTAGGGTGTAGACATGGGAATTCTAGGCGGGCTCGGTGTTTGTGACAGCCATTTTTTTGTCATGTCATCAATGTTTTTATTTTCATGTAGTTCTTGTATTAGTTGTTTCACTTTATATTGAGTTTCCTTAACCATCAGTATCTAGGTCTCTGAAAGATATACTCGTAAAAGCTAAACTCTGAGATTTAAAGGCTAAAACACGTGGGTGGAAAGCGTGAGTCAGGCTTGTCAACCCCTATGATATTTCAAAGTAAATTTTAGCGCCTTAGTAGTTAGCGATACCGGGTTCACTTAATTTTAGCGACAACGACTTCATAGTTAGCGACAACGAATTAAGTTTAGCGCCTTGATCGTTAGCGACAACGACTTCATGTTAGCGACAACGAAAACTTTAATGTTAGCGACAACAACTTCAAGTTGGCGACAACGAGTTTAATTTTAGCGACAACGACCTCAAGTTAGCGACAACGAAATAAAATTTAGCGACAACGACTTTAAGTTAGCGACAACGACCTCAAGTTAGCGACAACGAAATAAAATTTAGCGACAACGACTTCAAGTTAGCGACAACGAGTTTAATTTTAGCGACAACGACTTCAAGTTAGCGACAACGAAATAAAATTTAGCGATAACGACTTCAAGTTAGCGACAAGGAATTTGAATTTAGCGACAACGAATTCAAGATAGCGACAACGAATTTAAGTTTAGCGAATTTTGAAACGTTCGGACGACCATATTCCAAGCTTTAGCATCTCCGATACTGAAAG